AGATAGTTATGAAAAAATGGGTTAGATAGTTAAATAGTCAGATCGATAGATAGATATAAGGAATGAATGTAAAGAAATTAATGGAGACAGATGTTCTGAGAGGATTAACGCTATCAATGCGTTCCTTTGAATTCTTGAATAATTAATCTTCCTCTAAACAGCAAATCGAAACTACTAGAGTTACTTTTCGAAGAAGTCTTGGTCTAAGAATTATATATATATATATATATATATATATATATATATGTGTGTGTGTGTGTGTGTGTGTGTGTCTCTAATAAATGAATGCGAAAACAAAGGCATATTAACAACATTATTGTCTGTTCCCCTTCATTTTTCTCATTCCATTTTGAAGCCTTTAATCAATGAAAAATTTTTGAATTGTACATTTAATTCGCAGTATTCATTTTTCTTTCTTTTTTTGTTATGAGGTTTGGTTTTGTTATATTTCATTTTATCATTTTTTTTGCGGGGGGGGGTCGGTCTCTCTAATGAATTTAGTTTTTTGGTTTTTCTTTTTTCTTAATTAATATTCGATTTGTCTACTTCTAATTAAAAAAAGCACCTTGGAACCGCTTTTTCGATATCTACTCGTTTACTGACAAATTAATTCTAACATATTAGTGCAGCCTTTACAATCAACACCTTCTTCTTCTTCTTCTTCTTCTTCTTCTTCTTTTCATCATCATCATCATCATCCCCTTTTCTTCTTCTTCATAATCATCGTCATCTTCACCATCTTCTTCTTCTTCTTCTTCATCATCATCATCATTTCCCTTTGTTTTTCTTCTTTTTCATTGTCATTTTCCTCTTTTCATCATCATCATCATCATCCCCTTTCTTCTTCTTCTTCTTCTTCTTCTTCTTCTTCTTTCCCCTTTCTTTTTCTTCTTTTTCTTCGTCATCTTCTTCCACTTCATCATCATCATCATCATCATCATCATCATCATCGTCGTCGTCGTCGTTATCATCACCACCTCCCCCTTTCCTTTTTCTTCTTCTTCTTCTTCATCTTCTTCTTCATCATCATCACATTTCCCTTTTTTCCTCTTCTACTTCTTCGTCGTCGTTATTATCATCATCATCATCATCATCATCGTCTTCTTCTTCTTCTTCTTTTTCTTCTTCTTCTTCTACGCAATATACGTTAATATTTTTGGTCGCCATGTTCTTCCTTATTTGACCTTTATTTTCATGATTATTTTTAATTTGCTGCTATTTTATTTTGTATTGTTGTATCTAAAACCGGTTCTATATTTATTTTTCCATTATTATTATTATTAATATTATCATTATTATTATTATTATTATTCCCTCACGTAACAATAGAAGCATTGTCCGCTGAATTCGAATCAAATTTGCTTCCTGATTGGTTTGAAGGTCAGTATAATTACTACTTATAACGGGCCAATGGAATAAATTTAAGGTCAGAGTAATTAGATCTTATTAGCCAATCAACAAACAGACGCTGTTTGAAACGCGTCTCGATTTCGAATTAACTCTTTGGAAAAGATACGCCGTACATTTTTCCAGAAAATCCTGCAGGCAAACGAAAGAATAAGAATAACTGAAACAAAAAAAAAATGTCCAAGCTTAATTCAGCATTTGATTGTGTGTCCTTCAGTGGAGAAATTGTAATTACACTTTGGTGTGGCGAAGGATTAGTCGACGGAACTCTACGAAATGAAAGCTTTGTTAGATTTGATTTATTTACAACTAGCAATTGATTAATTCGACAATGCATTTATATACATGTATATATATTTGGGTATGCGTGCGAGTGGATGTGTGAGTGTGTGCCTATTTGATTATTGTGTAGATGTGTGTGCGTACACAATTTTGTTTCAAGAAATAAATTCACACAATTGAAGACAGAAAATACAGATGTAAAATTATATACATGTAAAAGCCCCACCCGATATATGTATATATTTATAAATCTCACAGACTTGCACAGCACACAGACACACACTCATATTATATATATATATATATATATATAGAGAGAGAGAGAGAGAGATAGCGTGTGTTAATATAAAAGTGAACATAGAAGTCAACACTTAGAGGTTTCATGCCAGATGCAATCGTCAGGCCACGACGATTGCATATAGCATGAAACAGACTGTCGCCTCTAAGTGTTGACTTCTATGTTCACTTTTATATTAACACACGCTCTATCTCTGATATTGAGCAATTTGTCCCATAAATATAGCATATCTTAATACTATATTTCTTCATCTCTCTCTCTCTCTATATATATATATATATATATATATATATATATATATATATATATATATATATATATATATAAAGGTGTAATTAATGGGTGCTATATTTATGGGGTAGAGTGCTCACTATCAAAGCGTATGTAAATATAAACGTGAACATTGAAGTCAACACTCATAGGTGACAAGCTGTTTCATGATTGCCCGCAGCATGAAACAGCCGATCACCTCTGAGTCTTGACTTTAATACTGAAACACACACACACACACACACACACACACACACACACACACATATATATATATATATATATATATATATATATATATATATATATATGTATATTCCAGGGTCATTTACGAACATATTCAAGATGATCTTCACACTTTATTTTCAAGTCTTTTATTCACTGTTCTTTAGACTGGCATAGCTGAAAGTTCATTTGTAATTACCAAACGTCTTATGGATTGACTTGGATCATTTCTAATTGATTTTTTTAGCTTTTACTTTAAAGGATGATACCTCTTCCGGTTGTGAGAGTTTGATCCAGTTTTCTCTACTGTTCCCTCTTTCTTAAACTTATTCACCTGTCTCTTGATGGTTCATGAATGGATATTGAAGACAGAAGTCAAACATTGGTAACATTACTGAAGGTCAAAATGATATTTTTCCTCTCAGCATTGGTCGGTTGCGAAGACAGTGTGGTTAACATAAAAAAAAGATTTTCCCCTGTTCTATTTTTAGCTGAATAACCCAAAGGTCTTTTCAGTGATTCTTACGAGAAATGGTGTCATAATTGCTAAACGTCTTATCTGAAAACCTAGAAAAAAGAAACTCAATTAGTTAGGTTCTTTTAGATAATAAACATTTTGTGGGTTGGACAATTATGGCTTGTTTTCACACGATTTGGAGAATTTTGTTGTAAATAAGTAAATAGAAAGACAGATAAATACATAGCTATCTGGATAGATAAAACAGAAACAGATAGATATATAGATAAAAACAAAATTATATATATATAGCGTGAGAGAGAGTGATTAATATCTTAAGATAGATAGATAGATAGATAGATAGATAGATAGATAGGACCGAAGGAGATAAAAAAAACAGAATAATATAGATAAACACAGAACGAGATAGACAAAAACAGAATTATAGATAGATAGATAGATAGATAGAAATATACATATATATATATACATATATGTATATATAGATACACCTAGTGAGCCAGAGAAACCTACCTAGGTTTCACCTAAACGGATCGTCAGGGAAAGTAAGGCTAACGAGGTAAAGAGAAACGCATATTTATCGGTGATAGCTAAAATCATACCACGTGACCAAAGAACCACCTCGTTAGCCTTACTTTCCCTGGCGATCCGTTTAGATGACACCTGGGTAGGTTTGTCTGGCTCACTAGGTGTATCTAGGTCTGCTCTACGGTTGTATTGAGCTCTTTTGTTAGTTAGTTGGTTACTCGTATCGGGGTTTTTTCTTTGGGCTTCAGACCTGCATCTGTGCGATTTTTTGTCGACAGAAGTTCATGTTTGTAGCTCTTGCATTTTTTAAAACCTTTTTTTCCCTCGAGATTGATTTGATTATTAGTAAATCAAAAATTCGAGGGTTTTTCGAAACGAGTCTTGTTATCTATAATTATATATATATATATATATATGTGTGTGTGTGTGTGTGTGTGTGTGTGTGTGTGTGTGTGAGTCAGTGTTTGTGAACAGACTGTGGGTGTAGAGAGCTACGCCGATGGGGGAGAGAACGTTTATAGGTTTAACCCTGGCCGAGCCTAATGGCTCGGAATATTAGTCTATGAGAGTGTTTGTCTGTGTTTGAGAGAAGTGGGAAACATAGGAGAATATTAGTCTGAGATTTGAGATAGCTATTTGAAGGAGTGGAGAAAGGAAATATAGTATGTGCTCACAAAGAAAATTGTAATTTCACATTTTCATAATCAAACACATATGCACATAACTATGTCTAAAAGACACACGCAGACTCCACCGCCATATATACATATATATGTGTTTGTACATGTGTGTTTGTGTGGGTGTGAGTGTAAATAACAAGAGGTAGGTATTAATATATGTATTTATATATAAGAAGTATTTAAATAGTAATCTGCACGAACTTTTAACCTTTGCCTCTCTTTAAATCATGCCCTTGACAGGCGTTCACCGGGTCGCATTTATACTGGAGAAGTCGTTTCATTGGCATCCATTTTCCTCCACCGTAACCGTTTTCTCCGATCTCCGACCCTGACATTCTCAACCAGTCGATTCCATGAAACGATAAAATGAAATAATATATATATATATATATATATATATATATATATATATATACTCCCATTGAACACACAGGTCGGCAACTCCGACTTTTTCCCCCGCTAAAGATGAATTCTTTCTGACCTTCCACAACTTGTCCATCAACTTCGGCAGGTTCAAAGATTTTTTCCTTTTTTTTTTTTTTTTTTTTAAATCTCTCTCTTTCTCTAATTTAACCAGAACCCCATCCAGGTTGTTCTTTTTTTATTTTTTTACTTAAAAAATATCAAATAAAAGGAAAAAAAAATAACAAAAACAAAGTAAATAAATAAAAGTGAATTCAGAACTAAAGAAATACCGAAAAAAAAATGGCCGGCATTAATCGTGCCTGCAACGAAATCCCCTTTCGTAAAAAGGTCAGAGGCCCCTATATTGTAACAGGTCCTCAGCGTCTGCTTGTTGCCGAAATTCTCCTTTCAGCCCAGTGACAGGTGAATGGGAAAGTTGATTTCCTTTCGCCCGCTATTTTTCCTTTCCTGTCAATTCTTTGGATGCCATACTTGTTTTCTCTTTTCGTCGTTTTCTCATTCCTCTCACATCATGTCTTTCCTTGTCCAACTTTTATTCAACTTTGGACCTGTTCAATCATCTTTTGTTCGTCTTTCTGACGCGGCTTGAATTTCCTGCTTAAAATTTACTCGCTTTGTACTTCTTTGTTCAGATTTCTTTCTTTTCTGATTTTTTTTTCTGAAATTATTTTTTTATTGATTTTGTTTCAAGATGATTTTGTTTTCTTTTTTCTTTCTTCTTTCTTTTTATACCTTTTTTAATTTTGTTACTTGTTAAAAGGCAACTCTCGTATATTGTCTTACTTTTTTATTGCACGTTTTATTGAAAGGAATCTCAGTTCTTTCGCTCTCATATTCCTTCTTTCTTTTGTTCTTTCTTTCAATTCGTTCATTCTTTATTTCACTTCTAAGGTCAAAATAAATTCATTCATTCCTTCGTTCTTTTTACTTTCTTCCTTCATTGTATTTTTTACGTTTTTACCAAGATTTCCTTTCTTTCTTTCACTTCTATGATGGAAACACATTATTTGTTTCTTTCACTTTTGACATCTAAACACATTCTTTATAACATTTTTAAACACATCTAAACACATTCTTTATAAAATTTTTAAGATCGAAACATTATTTATTTATTTATTGCTTCATTCTATAGTTGCGTAAAATTTCCTTTCATTCTTTCTTTCATTCTTTCTTTCTTTCATTCTTTCTGTCTTTCTTTTCTTCTTTCTTTTGTGTTTTTTATGCGATACTATGTCTTTTGGGGTATTTTCTTCTTACACCACTCATGTTATCATGATTTAATTTCTGATTTTCTTTCTTTCTGCCTGTCTTTGAATTTATTCCATTTCTTTTTACTTTTTTCTTGTAGTCTTTCATTATTTCTTTATTATTTTCTTTTTCTTTCCTTCGTTCATCCTTTCTTTAACTCCTAAGGTCCAAACATACCTTCTCTTTCTTTTTTCTTTCTTTCTTTCTTTCTTTCTTTCTTTCTTTCTTTCTTTAACTGTTCAATTTTTTCTCCTTTCTTTCGTTCTTTTTCATTCTTTATTTAACCGTTCTATTTTCTTTCTGTTTTCTTTCCTTTCTTTCTTTCTTTCCTTTCTTTCTTTCTTTCTTTCTTTCTTTCTTTCTTTAACTATTTTATTTTTCTTTCTTTCGTTCTTTCTTTCTTTAACTCTTTTATTTTTTCTTCTATTTTTCCTTCTTTCTTTCTTTGTTCAATCTTTCTTTAACTGTTCTATTTTCTTTCTTTTTTTTTTTCTTTTCTTTTCTTTCTTTCTTCAACAGTTTTATTTTTCCTTCTATTCTTTCTTTCTTTCTTTAACTGTTCTATTTTTTCTCCTTTCTTTCTTTCTTTTTCATTCTTTATTTAACCGCTCCATTTTCTTTCTGTTTTCTTTCCTTTCTTTCTTTCTTTCTTTCTTTCTTTCTTTCTTTCTTTCTTTCTTTCTTTAACTATTTTCTTTTTCTTTCTTTCGTTCTTTCTTTCTTTAACTCTTCTATTTTTTCTTCTATTTTTCCTTCTTTCTTTCTTTGTTCAATCTTCCTTTAACTGTTCTATTTTCTTTCTGTTTTTTTCTTTTCTTTCTTTCTTTCTTTCTTTAACAGTTTTATTTTTCCTTCTATTCTTTCTTTCTTTAACTGTTCTATTTTTTCTCCTTTCTTTCTTTCTTTTTCATTCTTTATTTAACCGTTCCATTTTCTTTCTGTTTTCTTTCCTTTTTTCTTTCTATTCTTTCTTTCCTTTCTTTCTTTCTTTCTTTCTTTCTTTCTTTAAGTATTTTCTTTTTCTTTCTTTCGTTCTTTCTTTCTTTAACTCTTCTATTTTTTCTTCTATTTTTCCTTCTTTCTTTCTTTGTTCAATCTTTCTTTAACTGTTATATTTTCTTTCTGTTTTTTTCTTTTCTTTTCTTTCTTTCTTTCTTTCTTTCTTTCTTACTTTTTTCTTTAACTATTTTCTTTTCTTTCTTTCGTTCTTTCTTTTTTAACTCTTCTATTTTTTCTTCTATTTTCCTTCTTTCTTTCTTTTTCAATCTTCCTTTTAACTGTTCTATTTTTTTCTGTTTTTTTTTTTTTCTTTCTTTCTTTCTTTAACAGTTTTATTTTTTTCTTTTTCTTTCTTTAACTGTTCTATTTTTCTCCTTTCTTTCTTTTTTCATTCTTTATTTAACCGTTCCATTTTCTTTCTGTTTTCTTTCCTTTTTCTTTATATTCTTTCTTTCCTTTTCTTTCTTTCTTTCTTTTCTTTCTTTCTTTCTTTCTTTAAGTATTTTCTTTTTCTTTCTTTCGTTCTTTTTTCTTTAACTCTTTCTATTTTTTCTTCTATTTTTCCTTCTTTTTTCTTTGTTCAATCTTTTCTTTCTGTTATATTTTCTTTCTGTTTTTTCTTTTCTTTTCTTTCTTTCTTTTCTTTCTTTCTTTCTTACTTTTTTCTTTAACTATTTTCTTTTTTTCTTTCTTTCGTTCTTTTTCTTTAACTCTTCTATTTTCCTTCTATTCTTTCTTTCTTTCCTTAACTGTTCTATTTTTCTCCTTTCTTCTTTTTTTTTTTTCATTCTTTATTTTAACAGTTCCATTTTCTTTCTGTTTTCTTTTCTTTCCTTTTTCTTCCTTTCTTTCTTTCTTTCTTTCTTTCTTTCTTTAACTATTTTCTTTTTCTTTCTTTTCGTTCTTTCTTTTTTAACTCTTCTATTTCTTCTTCTATTTTTCCTTCTTTCTTTTCTTTGTTCAATCTTCCTTTAACTGTTCTATTTTCTTTCTGTTTTTTCTTTTCTTTCTTTCTTTCTTTCTTTCTTTTTTAACAGTTTTCCTTTTTCCTTCTATTCTTTCTTTCTTTAACTGTTCTATTTTTTTTTTTTTTTTTTTTTTTTTTTTCATTCTTTATTTAACCGTTCCATTTTTTCTTTTCTGTTTTCTTTCCTTTCTTTTTTCTTTCTTTTCTTTCTTTCTTTCTTTCTTTCTTTCTTTCTTTATCTATTGTCTTTTTTTCTTTCTTTCGTTTTTTTCTTTAACTCTTCTATTTTTTTTTCTATTTTTCCTTCTTTCTTTGTTCAATCTTTCTTTTTAACTCTTCTATTTTCTTTTTTCTTTAACAGTTTTATTTTTCCTTCTATTCTTTCTTTCTTTTTCCTTAACTGTTCTATTTTTTCTCCTTTCTTTCTTTCTTTTTTTTTTCATTCTTTATTTAACAGTTCCATTTTCTTTCTGTTTTCTTTCTTTTTTCTTTCTTTTTTTCTTTCTTTCTTTCTTTCTTTCTTTCTTTAACTATTTTATTTTTCTTTCTTTCGTTCTTTCTTTCTTTAACTCTTCTATTACTTCTTCTATTTTTTCCTTCTTTCTTTCTTTGTTCAATCTTTCTTTTTTCTATTTTCTTTCTGTTTTTTTTTTTTCTTTTCTTTTCTTTCTTTCTTCAACAGTTTTATTTTTTTCTATTCTTTCTTTCTTTCTTTAACTGTTCTATTTTTTTTTCCTTTCTTTCTTTCTTTTCATTCTTTATTTAACCGTTCCATTTTCTTTTTTCCTTTCCTTTTTTCTTTTCTATTCTTTCTTTCCTTTCTTTCTTTCTTTCTTTAAGTATTTTCTTTTCTTTCTTTCGTTCTTTCTTTTTCTTTATTTTTTCTTCTATTTTTCCTTCTTTCTTTGTTCAATCTTTCTTTTTTAACTCTTTATTTTCTTTCTGTTTTTCTTTTCTTTTCTTTTTCTTTCTTTCTTTCTTTCTTTCTTTCTTTTTTTAACAGTTTTATTTTTTCCTTCTATTCTTTCTTTCTTTCTTTTAACTGTTTATTTCTTTCTTTTTTTTTTTCATTCTTTATTTAACCGTTCCATTTTCTTTCTGTTTTCTTTCCTTTCTTTCTTTCTTTCTTTCTTTCTTTTTATTTTCTTTTTTCTTTCTTTCGTTCTTTCTTTCTTTAACTCTTCTATTTTTTTCTTCTATTTTTCCTTCTTTTCTTTCTTTGTTCAATCTTTTTAACTGTTCTATTTTCTTTTCTGTTTTTTCTTTTCTTTCTTTCTTTCTTTCTTTAACAGTTTTATTTTTCCTTCTATTCTTTCTTTCTTTAACTGTTCTATTTTTTCTCCTTTTTTTCTTTCTTTTTTCATTCTTTTATTTAACTGTTCCATTTTCTTTTGTTTTCTTTCCTTTCTTTTTTTTCTTTCTTTTTTCTTTTTTCTTTCTTTATCTATTTTCTTTTCTTTCTTTCGTTCTTTCTTTCTTTAACTCTTCTATTTTTTCTTCTATTTTTCCTTCTTTCCTTGTTCAATCTTTCTTTAACTCTTCTATTTTCTTTCTGTTTTTTCTTTTCTTTTCTTTTCTTTCTTTCTTTCTTTCTTTCTTTCTTTCTTTAACAGTTTTATTTTTCCTTCTATTCTTTCTTTCTTTCTTTAACTGTTCTATTTTTCTCCTTTCTTTCTTTCTTTTTTTTCATTCTTTATTTAACCGTTCCATTTTCTTTCTGTTTTCTTTCCTTTCTTTCTTTCTTTCTTTCTTTCTTTCTTTCTTTCTTTCTTTCTTTCTTTCTTTAACTATTTTCTTTTTCTTTCTTTCGTTTTTCTTTCTTTAACTCTTCTATTTTTTCTTCTATTTTTCTTTCTTTCTTTCTTTGTTCTTTCTTTCTTTAACTGTTCTATTTTCCTTCTGTTCTTCCTTCCTTTTTTCTTTCTAGAAATGGAGAAAAACTGATAAGAGCCACAAGGGATAGGAAGCTGTGGAGAGTCCTGATCGTTTACCTCCTGAAGGGTCACAGTACAGAGAAGACGAATAGTAATACATGAATATATTCCTTCACAAAATTATGGCAACACAATAAAATTGATTGCCTTTTCATTCTTACCAAGATTACCTTTCATTCGTTCTTTTTTACCTTTTTTTTTATTTCATGCTTTATATGTTATTTTTTGTGTATGTTCCCTGATTTTTCAGGTCATCATTGTGTGGCCTGGCAGCTCAGACCAGACATCAGGTTCATTCTCAGATTGCTCCTTCCATTCAAACGCTTTTGGCAATTAAAATGACTTCTTTGGCCAGATACTCCCCCACGAAATAGTAGTAAGCAACTTTTATTCCTGTTGTAACCTAGTGCTGTAGAGGAGGGATGAAGAGATGAAAAGTTTTAGGGAGAAGGCGAATTGTCTAACGGGCGTCTTCCCTTTCGCCTTACTACAAGGCGGCGTTCTGACCCACTCCATGCCTATGCCTAGATATTCTGTTTTTCGCTGGTAGTTACCACTGACTTATAGACAACATTGTCCTTTGTCTTCTCTTCTTTGTCTCAAATAGTAATTTATCTTCATTCAGTGACCCTTTTTGTCAGAGTCGTTTGCCATGGTCTGTGTCAGAACTACTTCACTTAAGTGATAATCCTCAAGGCAAATAAATGCCTGAAACAATTTTGACAGCTGAGATATTTTCATTTAATAAGATAAAGGCTGACATTGATATCGCTACAGTTAGCTGCAATCTCATACTAATATGAAATTTAAACACTTCCGAGATGTATTTGAATCTGATAGTTCTACAGATTTCTACGCGAAAGCTGAATTATTGAATTAAACTGAATGTACAGTCTCAGAAAATTAGTAAACAAGGTGTCCAGTGCTGACCTTCTCGCAAAATGCATCATTGCTCGAATCAAAACTTACCTGGTGCGGTCTTTAACAGACTGGTCATGTTGCAAGGTTGAATGAAGACAGAATACCTAAGGACCTCATGTATAGCCAGCTTGACAATGGACAGAGGAATGTTGGATGGCCCTGAGTGAGGTATAATGACAAGCTAAAGAGTAACCTCTCAGCTGTTAATGTACATCATGCTAACTTCCAGTGAGTTGCCCGAGATCGAAATAACTGGAGATATTTGTTCCAGAGCTGTATAAAAAATTTCGAAATAAGTCATATTGCCAGGCTAAGAAACAAAATACAACGGCGAAAGGCGTCAAATATTATTTTATGTTCTGAGATCATCGTTGTTGCACAATAGGCGGACTTGTATGCAGGTCACTAGCGGGACTGGAGGGTCACATACGACACAAACATAATGAAAATGAATGAGATTATTGGATCATTCATATATATATATATATATATATATATATATATATATATATATATATATATATATATATATATATATATATTCAAAATATATATAATAAAATAATAGGAACGAACAGTGAGATTTATAATCCAGAATTATTAGCATTTATTTTTATTAAAAAAAAACAGTCATCGATAAAAAAAAGTAGAGCATGATTTATTTAATTGGAGGAGGAGGAGGATTCCGAGCAAAATGAAGAGATAGATTGACTTAGCCAGATATAGGAAGCGATCCGAGTGACGGAGTTGGAACCCTCGCCGGGGATCAGCGGCGTTCAGTCGTCGCCTGAATCGGTGCAGAGGAGACCCTGTGATGTCACCGTCGCACCCCCATGTCTAAAGAAAATGAAGAGAAAGGCGAGGAGATCCAATCAAGCAGTCAAGGGCTCTAAAAAGAGGCACCCTAAACAAGACGAAGAGTTCAACGAGTGGAAGGAAGAGGATCAAATACCCTTTTCCCAACTCAGAAACATTACAAGAAACAGGAGAGATTTAGACATTGAGTCAAGAAGTGATGAAGACGTCCAGGGTGAGGACTAAAAACAGATGGAAGAATCAGGAGAGGAAGAAGGGGACAAAACACCTCCTGGACGCGAATTAAACACCGAGGGAAGGTTAGAGGTCGAGTAGGAACTACCTCTGAAGATGAGATTGAGAAGGGTGGAGAACCCCAAGTCTCAGTAAAACAAAGAAAGCTGTTCAAAATAGAAGCACTCGGTGTCGACAGATAACGACACTGGCTCATCCAAAAACCTACTGGCTGACTCTGGTGGATGTGTATGGAGGGAATGGAGTCGCGGGCTGCACCTCACGAAGGACGGAAGAAGATTATTGGCATTGCTAACTGGCCAGCAGTGGTACGAAGTCATGAAGTACGACCTTTGAGGTGGGAGCCCCGCGCCTGTCCGGACCATTCGGTCTGCTAGGATTTAGTTAGAGGAGGAAAGAGCTGAAGGGTTACAAACTTAGAAAGAAATTATGGAATAATTGAATGAAGAATTGAACAAGACCGAATAGTTATGAAGAATAAAAACAAGAGAATTTTGTTGCCTTGCAGGAATGATCAAAATGAAAGGATTGATGATGATGATGGTAGCCACACGAATGGTAGCAAGGTACAAGATGGAAACAGAATACATAGCTTTAAATTCGGGTCGAACAAAATTCATGTTGCTAACAGCTGAAGAAGCTAGAAAGTGTAGAAATGATGCTCTAGGGACTTGTACATCGTTAAGCCCTATCTATATAGCTGGTAACCAAAAAATGTGCATACTAGAATTGTTTGAACGGAAGAAAGAGGGAATTAAGAGAACTTGTCAAGTAGAGGTATTAGCAAACACGGCATTGCCACAAGCTATCAGTGTTTCAGACGGGGTGTGGGCTGTGGCCACCCAGAAACCCATCAGCTTGTCTAGGGTATGTGGGGGAGATTCCACAAGGACATTAAGAGTAAAGCCACCATTATCCCTGCTATGTTCGGCATTTGGGATATCTATTTCCTTACACCCCTATTACCAGGAAGACGAAAAATATGAAGAGAAAGATTCAATCATAGAATTGATTGGCAGAAGCTTAGTCAATTGTACAGAGTTGTGGGAGCCAATAGTGAGGGGATTCTCCAATGTTACTTTGAATAAAATGCCAGTACTAATGAAGCCGATAGAAAAGATCGATATGGATCAATTGAGGGACAAATTAAGCACGTTGGGAAATGAAGGTATGGCTTGGGAAGATGATGAGCAGATCGCGATAAGTTGGTCAGCAATGATGGGTACATTTATAATTATAGACATAGGGGGTATGGCAATATGGAAGATTAGAAGTAAGAAGAAATTAACTAGCGCTAATCAAATGAGCATGCAGCAACTCGAGAAGGAGAGGTCGAGCAGTGTTCTTTACCCATAGAGAATCGGCGAAGAAATTACAGAAAGGCCGGCGGAGGAGTGTGACGTGAAACCAACACGTGCGGATGAAAAACCTTCTACAGCAGAGAGAAAAGCATTGACCAAGAAAAACATGCCATAATAACCACACACATGCTCCCACAGGCACATGCACACTTTAAATTGCATAAGAAACAGAAGATGAAAAGAACGTTACATTTGCATGTAGAACAGAAGAAAATGAAAAAGAACATTACATTTGCATGTAGAACAGAAGAAGATGAAAAGAACATTACATTTGCATGTAGAACAGAAGAAGATGAAAAAGAACATTACATTTGCCTGTAGAACAGAAGATGAAAAGAACATCACCTTGCATGTAAAACCGTAAAAAAGAAAAGAAGAATAGAATTGCATGGGACAGATGCATGATGCATGCTAAATAGTGTATTTGGGTTTAAGTGTCATTTACGAGTAAATGACAAATAGTTTAGGGGAGGATTGTGACACAAATTAGCGGTCGCGTGAAAATTAAAAGCGAGAAATAATTAAGACGAGAAAAAGCTGAAATAATTAAGGCGATAAGAAGCTATCACGAAAAGACATACTGAGCGATGTTATTTTTTTAACAAAGAAAAGTGGTAAAGATTTTATTTTCATTTGCGAAGGAAAGTATTTTTTCTCGCAGAATATAGGAAATTCGTAAGATCTCGGATCTGTCAAATTAATTTATGTTACGAGGCGTCGAATAAAAGATAGCCATCTACCCATGGCAATAATGAAAATTTCAAATTGCTCAAGTGGCCTACGAAACAGAAGCTGGAAGATTATCATAATCAGGTCACGCACTGATCGAGAAAGGCATCAGCTGAGGCCACCCCAGAGAGAAAGGGAAAGAATAAACCATTAACTATCTTTCGGAGATATCATTTGTTTTTGGAAAGAAGACACCTGTTTTATGTTCAGACCTGGACATGATAAAAGTTTGTTACCGGGATAGATAATTGGCGACAGATTGTGGAGACGTCCAGTTGACTACCCACTTGACGCTGGCGAAAATCTCATTGATAAATTCCAGATGACATTCGGTTAAGATAGAGATTAAGGACCACACTACGAGTCGTAGGTGTCTGGTGTAAGGAAAAGAAAGAAAAGAAAAAAAGGAAGATATTTTTTTTTCTTTGAACGATAATTGTGAATACCCGCGCTGCCGAGCGTCATTGGCTGAGTGGTGGCGTGAGCGGTGAGCGAAGGTAAGAGAAAGAGGGGAGGCTTGTTGACGGCTCTAAGGGGATTGGTGTGAGATACCACTGTGAGAGAGAAGGGAAAAATGTTGACGCCCTCTAAGGGGATTGATGTGAGATACCAATATGAGAAAGGAATAATTTGGGAGGACGATTCCCTTAAGAACCCCTCTGGAGCAGAAAGTAATGGACTTCCAAAAATGGAATGTGATAAATGTTCCTGTCCGAAAACAAAGACAATCCTTATTGTGGATTTAGAATTATCGAGGAACTCAAACCCCGACAAACCCACACCCGGTTTTGGTCGGCGTCCATATAAACAGAGTCGCAGCTAGTTGACGGCAGTTGGAGTTAGAGTTAGGAAGAGTTCCGAGGAGACGCAGACGCAGACAGAGTTGAGCTCTGAGCTCTGAGACCAGCCTCGCAGGAAGCTGACTGAAGATCCACGCATTCCGACTTCGACTTCTAACCAAAAACAATTTATTTTTGAAGAACGACTTAGACTCACAGCACCAAAACAAGTTTTACGAATATCGCCTGAAGACACCAAGAACCAGTTATCGAAAAACAACTTAAGATATTAAGACACGTCTAACGAACGCAAAGTGTCACGTATCCATATTAGCGGTTTGGGAGAAAGAAGCAGTCCTGTATTCAGCAACCAGATATAAAAGTATTTGTTATTCTTTTTTTTTTAACACATTTGAACTTTTATTAGTTGTTACTTTATTTTCTTTTACATATACTTGTGCGATGTCACCTTTGCTCGAATTTGGCTTGCATTACGGCCCGGCGATTGATTGATTTCGTCAACCTAAGATCAAATCACAACGTGGGTAGGTTAGACTAGAAATCAAAGCAGTTACTTCGGTAACAAGTCGTTGGAGGCGAGCTGGGAACGACAAAGCTGATACCGAATCTAACCAGATTCCCATCCAAATCAGCCAAGGGTTAGAACGTCACATGGCGCCGCGACCAATACCAAGTCACATTGGTTGTCACAGGATAGCACGGGGGCAGAGAGGCCGGGGGTGACGACACACATGGATTAAAAAAAGTGAGACATGACTTTTAAATTAGAAATCTTATTATCGTCCTACCAAAAAGAAAGATTTTATGATTAAATTTTGCTCTTGTCAAAAATATCTTCCTTCAGCCTTGATTGCAGCAGAACCATTTTTTAGCAATCTTTGCTAAATTTTCTCAAAGAATAAAAATTGAACCAATTCTTTTTTCAATGATTCTAAGAGCTTATTTCATTTTTTTTCGCTCTTCTGTCAAATTCCCCCATGCTAATTCTGGAGGTCGCTTCAAACTTTTGAACCGCGGTGTATATATAATGATTTTCTACGCGCTGCTTAGATGTGGCACAAGGCCGGAAGTATGGAGTACCCAGTGAGGATCGAACTCACTATTCATTTGTAATTGTTCTTGCGAGACAAGCTTGCTAACCATTACACCACGCCGAGGTGCCCAGCTGCATATACAGACGATACCACTGCTCATAGTAATACCACGAAATATCCATAGGAACAGTGCTTGGCAGTTGATATCTCTTCTCAACTAACTCTCACAGATCAAAGTAGGAGCAACGTTCAATACTGTAATATCAGACATTGGCTTTTTGCCAGTCTTAATATTTCTACTCTCAATAAGGCTCTTTGCCTTGAATGTTTTTTAGGGACTTTAATTCACCCCAGAGCTCAAGTCAACTTCGTTTAGAGGAACGATTATTTGAGATGTTAGAAAAATATACATTTCCTTTTTGCGCTCCAGAAAGTAGCTCATTTACATCCTGCTTTTCAGATCAGACCACAAAAATACCGAATCTTCTATTCTACATCTCACTACACTACCGGATTTTCACGGTAGATTTTTGGTCGGACAGTATTTCTCGGATCCACCAAGCCAGAGATTCACAGTAAATCCTCGCAATGTTACGTACACTGAGTCGCTCCATCCTGACTCCATTCATATCCCATTGGCAAAGAAGAAGTTTCTTCCGCAGAAGCGTTGCGTTATTGAACAGACTCGTGAGCGAATGTTTTCCGAACACTATAACCTTAGCATCTTCAAGTAATTCGGTATCTAACCTGGATATCCTCATAATACTCACTCCTTGCACGCCCTTCCAGCAAACATTGTCAATATGACGTAAGGGGTTACAGAGAGTGACGGTAATAATAAAGAAAGGTGTTTGAGGAAAGGATATAGAGAAGGACGGAGATCAAGATCAAAGCGTTAGAAGATATCGATTGACATTACATTTGAATATTTGAAGATTATAACTGTCTGGGAAGCATGTAAGAGGAAGGGTGTTCCACTGTCGGGAAGTACGAGAGAAGATGCTTTTGGAGTACTGCAGGAAAAATATGCCTCGTCAGTCATGTATCGAAAGATACACGATCGCCTAAGCGTGTATCACGCATGGCACATAACTGTCTAACAAGACTGGCAGCTAGTTCTCATCATTTTACGTTTGCAATGGCTAGATGTAACCATCAGTTCTATGCTAACCTTTTCTTCCTCTTGATCTTCTCACTTATCAGACTCTTTTCCTGGTTTCTTCCTCCCCAGCCAACCTTAATCATCAAAAATTAAAATGCAATGTCCATCGTTTTTTTTTTCTTTTCACCCAAAGAAAGATGGCATCCACAAGCACGCAAGGCTTTACAGACAGTGTGAGCGACAGTAAAGAGTTGTGATAGAGGAAAGGAAGACGATAAGGACAGGGAATAGATCAAGGCATATAGAAATGTCGATTGGCATTACATTTGAATAGTTGGAGAATATAGCTATTTGGGAAACAAGTATTAGAAAGAAAGTTCCACAGATAGGAGGTGTGAGACATGAAGCTATTGGAGTAGAAGAGACTGACACATTTAACTGTTATGACAGTGAAAGGGTGGGCCCGAGGTGCCAACCTAGTAGCACGCTTAAATTCATGCGGTTGGGGTACCAGTGCAAGTAGCCCATCAGAGCTATTGTCATGGAAATATTTCTAGAAAAGACAGAGGGAAGCACGTCACGTTTGTGAGAAAGTAACTGTAGTCGTGATGCCAGGTCACTGTGACTTGTGATTGTCATCTGTCTTTAAGTCCTGAAGATGATGCAGCATGCCATTCTCAAGAGCTTCCTTGTGGCACGCCAAACTTTCTTAGTTGCTAGTCTTGATCTTATTATGAACTTCCTGGGGCTTCGCAAAAATGTTTTTTCCGAGGGCTCGCGGCCATTTCTTTCGATAACCGTGTTCACACATTTCCCTTTGCCCTGCGCAGACAGCCTTCCTCTCTGATGTACTTGTGTCATGTCGAAATCCGCATTGCAGTTGGTGCATATTTAGCGAACTATCTCACCAATACACAGGACACAGTAACATACAAAAGGCCATTTCTTTTGCAGTGAATTTTCAATACCGTTACATGCAAAACGCCTTTTCTTTTACAGAGAATTAATTTTCTATACCGTTATATGCAAAACGCCATTTTATTTTACAGAGAAATGATTTTCTATACCGTTATATACAAAACGCCTTTTTATTTTACAGAGAATTGATTTTCTATGCCGTTACATACAAAACGCCTTTTCTTTTACAGAGAAATGATTTTCTATGCAGTTACATACAAAACCCCTTTTTATTTTACAGAGAATTGATTTTCTATAACGTTACATGCAAAACGCCTTTTTTTTTTTTTTACAGAGAAATGATTTTCTATACCGTTACATGCAAAACGCCTTTTTATTTTACAGAGAAATGATTTTCTATGCCGTTACATACAAAACGCCATTTCTTTTACAGTGATTTGATTTCTATACCGTTACATACAAAACGCCTTTTCTTTTAAAGTGATTTGATTTTCTATAACTTTACATACAAAAGAACTTTTTCATATACAGTGAACTGATTTTCTATACCGTTACTTTCAAAACGCCATTTCTTTTATCGAGCATTGATTTTCTATACCGTTACATACAAAACGCCTTTTCTTTTTACAGTGAATTCATTTTCTATACAGTTATATGCTAAAAAAAAAGCAACAAAAACAACACTATTTACACAACGACATACTCGATTTAAGCCTTGGTATGTGAATTTGTTGAGGACGAGCGTGCAATAACTGAACAGTACTAAATAAAATTAAGAACTATACGATATCCCTAAACATAAACAGAGGAGAAAGAACAGTCTACCTCGTAGATTAAATAAAGTGGTCAGTTCATAATTCCCTGCAGATTACCCATATCAATATACACTTGAGTAAGGCCGAAGAGCAAAACGGCCGACACGTTTGGGTAAAAACAAAAATGAGGTCATTTCTCCGAATATAAATTGTGTAAATAATCACAACTCGCAGATATTTCGACAAAAATAAAATTGTTGTTTCTACACATAATGATAAAATCTGAAATCATTTGGATAAGAATTTATCAAGTGATTAGATTACGAAATGTTATTTTCTGAAAGAGCATCTGCTTTTTGGGTGCTCCATACTTTCGGCTTTGTTCCACATCTAAGCTATGTTTACTAAATCGCTAGATGTGTTTTATTGTCATCCTTTATTTGTATGTTTCCTGTAATATTCTCCATGATAGTTTCATGAATTTTTTACATAGTTTTAGTTCCCCGTTTTTCACCACACATTCTTTTCCGTTTTTCCTTTCTTTTCGATTTTGTTGTTCCTTTCACCCTTTCTCCGTTTATTCCATATTTCACTTTCACGAATTAATATTAATCTTACATTATTTCTTTCTTTTTATTCTACTTCTTCATTTTTCATTCAGTTCTGAACTTTATAGATAAAACGTTAAACGTCTTTCTAATCTAAGTTCTATTGAACATGGCTCCTTCTTGTCTTTTATTACATCTTTCTTTCTTCATTTCTTTCTTTCATTCTTTCTTTATTTCATTTTTCTTTCGATTGTTTTTCATTTTTTCTTAGTTTCTTTCATATTTTTCTTTCATTTTTCTTTCAATCTTTCTTTCTTTCAATTTTCTTTCTTTAATTCATTTTTCTTTCATTTTTCGTTTTTCTTTCATTTCTTTCTTTTTTCTTCCTTTCATTTTTCTTTCATTGCTTCTTTCTTTCCTTTTTCTTTCTTTCGTTTTCTTTCTTTTATTTTTTCTTAATTTCTTTCATTAATTCGACTATATTTCTCCTTCATTTGTCTTTCCTTATTTTTTCTCATGGCTTCTTATATCCAGCTTTTTTAAATGAGTGTTGAATCTGTTTTCTATTTAACACTTTCTTTCTTTCTTTCTTTCTTTTTCGCATTATATCATACAAATCTGCTTCATTATTCTTCTTCTCATTTTTCTATCTCTCTCTCTTTATCTCATTCGACCCTACTTCAGTCTTCTTCAACTTCTTTACTTTTGTTTGTTTCTTTCTTTCTGACGTCATCTCATTCAAACCTGTTACATCCTCGTTTTCTTCTTATTTGACTTCTTCATTTCTTGCTTTCTCTCAATTTTGCGTAATGTCATTCAACCCTGATCATTCTTGATCTTGTTCTTGACCTGCATTTTTGTTTCTCACGTCATCTCATTCAAATTTGCTTCGTCCTTCTTACATCTTTATTTTTCTTTCTTTCATTTTTCTTTTTTTCGTTCTTTGTCGTGTCATCTCATTCAACCTTACTTCATTCTTTCATCTTCTCCATTTTTGTTTCTTTCTTAAAATAAAATGAGTGGTGTAAGAAGAAAATACCCCAGAAGACATAGTATCGCATAAAAAACACAAAAGAATGAAGAAAAGAATGAAAGAAAGAAAGAATGAAAGAAAGAGTGAAAGAAAAAAAAAGAATGAAAGAAAGAAAGAAATTTCTTTTTTTCTTTCTTTCTACCTCTTATTCAATCAACATTCATACATTTTCTCCTTCACTTATTCATTAATTCATTCTAAATTATTCCATTCCCTTCACAGATTTATCTACTTTAAACCTTTTTCTCTTTCCGATTTCTATTTGAGTCAGACTCCTTCTTTCTTTCTTTCTTTCTTTCTTTCTTCCTTTCTTTCTTTCTTTCTTTCTCATTTCTGATTCCCCCTCTTCCTACACTATGTATTTTTTTGCTTTCCTTTGCCTTATCTTTCATTCATTTGTTATTCCCCCTCTTAGCCAAAGGCCAAGTCCACGTTGAAACCCCAAGGTCAAAACTTATCTTTTCCATGTCATCATTTGTCCCCCAACAAATGTGCCAAACGGAATATTAATCGGCTTTCTTTGCAAGATGGGACCAAAGAACAAACTCGCTACGTGTTTTCCTTTTTATTTATTGAAATAAATAAAAGCTAGAATAAATACACGCCAAATACCAAACTTGATCGAATGATAGAAAGCTGTAAAGTCAAGCGGAAATCTACGTTTTCAAGGAATTCATTGCACGTTGGGAAGAGTTTCATCATATCAGAAAACACAGATGCTAAATATTATTCGGATTCTCTAGTCGAAGACAAAAAGAATCCACAATATTAATCAGGTATGATACAGTAACCTGTTGTATTTTTAAAAGCATATTACGCGAATGTATTGAATTCTAATGTCTTGCATCACTTATTGCGCAAAAATTTAACAACTCATTTAATTTAACTTCTAACAGTCTTTTGTTGTAGGTTGATGAAAATTCAAAATATATTTCTTTGTAGAAAATTTATATATATATATATATATATATATATATATATATATATATATATATATATATATGTATGTATGTATATAGGGAAAAGTTTATAATTCTACCAACGAGAGAAAAGGTATATGTTTTTAAAAAAGAGAGAAACCGCAAATGTTTTGGTTTCTATCGGGATTTCTTTTAGTGTGTATACTATATTTTGTTCTTCATATTTTGCTACATGGGTTTCGGTCTCGTGATCTTCTTCAGACACATTAAAGGAATCAGTTTTTAACAGAATAAATTTTCCTCGTGTTCTTTTCTGTAGTGAGCCTTGATTTCATATTTGGACTGTTGCCAAAAGTCTATTTCTATCCTAAGCTGTAATAAAATCATTACGTTTGCTCTTAGTGGTGGCGATGATAGATGTGTTGATGAGACATGCTTCCCCATCACCACACTACTCCTAATTCATTTCCATTTTGTGTATCGTGTGTGCGTTTCGTGCCCCAGTTAGATTGTACACACACACACACACACACACACACACACACACACACACACACACACACACACACACACACACATATATATATATATATATATATATATATATATATATATATATATATATAATGGAATATGCATACACCTCTGTTCCCCTCACTGGAATATGATTAGCGACGGATTTGTAGGTGAGTCAGAGCCTTAGTCTGAGAGCTAAGTCTATAACGACGCCCATTGGACTAAGCCATTGATCTACACTTCTTACCTGCGTCTACGACGCGTACCAGTCGATAACTGCTAACGTATACTACTTGGTTATAGTAGCCAAAACCACTTAGCTACTTCGCTCAAATATATCTCTTTCCGGGACATATCATATATATATATATATATATGGAAATGGACAGTGAGAGAGAGAGAGAGGAGTAATGGATAGCTGCTCGAATTGACGAATCGGAGAGCCAAGTTCGAAACCTCGTCGAATACATTGGATTCACTTACGTGCTAATAACCTTGGGAAAGGTATGAATCCTCTTGTTTCCAGTCCCCCTCCCATGGTTAAATAGTAGGCCAGATAGTCAAGTGAGGATGTTCGTTTGGGGACTTTGTGGCACGTAGCACACCAGGTCTCTGAATTCGGCCCTTCAAAAATGAAGATGTTTCTGCACAAATACTTCACCACAATAACCAAATCGTATGTGCAGGTGACTGGCAGTCGGTTCCTAGGAACTGAGTTGCTTGAACCTCATAAGTCGATAAACGACGAGAGAGTCCCACATATAGGTACCATGAGAACGAATAGAGTACCCTTCCAACGTTGGTAACATTTAATTTCAAAGAGGGCTCAATACATTGTATAACAACATTATTCAATTATAAAATAATTTATTCTGTATAACCTTACTGCTTATAATGGTATCATTTCGAACAATGTAGGCTTATATAGAGATGATGGTCTTCTGGCAGTAAAAATCCATTTTAATGAGGTATATAAATGACGTAAAATGAGTCATAAATAATTAAAATGATTAAATCTTAAGGTTAAGATAACTACTAATATTAACGTAGTAAAAATTCTTGATGTTACGTTGCATGTAGTTAATGATTATTCCAACATTATATGAAAAATATGCCAACCCAGTTTATATTCAAACCAAATCTAACCATCTCCCATCTGTAATCAATCATATACCTTCGTCAGTAGAACGCAGGATTAGCAAGCACTCATCTGATATGTTCGATAATTATAGCATTGTTTATAATACTGTTTTAAAGAATAGTGGTTACAAGTATGCTGACATCAAGCATAGAAAATATGATAATAATGGTCTAAAGAAAAGAAATAGAAATACAAAAACCATTTGGTACACGCCCCCATTGAACCAATGGATCGGAACTTAGGCCAGAATTTCCTTCATTTGATAAACATTTCCCCAAAAGTAATCCACTTAGTAAAATATATATAACAAAAACACATTAAAATTATGTTATAGCTGTGCCAATAATCTTAAGAATATTATAAAGTTACACAATAATAAAATTAATAATGGTTCATAATGCACATTCGAAGATAGATGTTGCTAATGTTACTAGTCACTGTAATTGTAGGAATTCAGACCAATGCCCATTGCTGAATAAATGCTTGACTAAATCTCTTGTTTACTTTACTACTATCTCTAAAATAGAGAATCCGACAGTTGAAAAATTTTATATAAGTACCACTAAGAATTTATTTTAAAAATAGATGGCATCAACATATCTTGTTCTTCAGTAATAATACTTATATAAATAATATATCACTATCTAAATATTTTTTGCGTTTAAATGATGATAATAAAAATCCTAAGATGAAATGGAAAAATTAAAAATGGCAAGGGCATGTAGATCCTTACATGAACCCTGTTTGCCTTGTTTACATGAAAAACTGGAAATTATCGGATTCTTTGTTAAGAATGCTTTATAAAATCAAAAATCAAAATTAACGGTAAATTGTAAAGACATTCGACCATGTACTTTACAATTCATTTAGAGTTAAAATTTGGCAATATTTTCTTAGATTTTAGTTGAAATTTGTTGAAAATTTATGGCGTATCTTTCTATTTCTATGCATAAATTGGGGTTTAATTTAGTTCTGTATTGATCGTCTGGTAGTAATTTTAACATCTTATACGAATGTATTGGTATTTAGTTATTATATATTGATTGGTTGATATTATTAACATCATATTTTGGATGGTATTTATTTAATGGTTGCATATTATTTACCAAATAATTCTATATTTTAAAATGATTTACTAGTTTCTTAAAGAGGCCACTTATTTATCAACTACAAAAAAATTATAGAGGAGAACCACAAAGCGCATTCGTTTAAATTTTAGTTGGGCATTCGTTTGAATTACCTCCCTACATCCCATGCCCGTTTTTATTTCTTATGAGAGGTAACTGGCTGACACGTGTACATTTACTGTAGCCATTTGTATCAGTCTTTAAATTAATGACTGGCTGCTGTTAGATGTCAGATCGTTGACGTGACACATTTGGCAGATAATTTCTATTTTTTTCTTTTTCGCTTAGTTTGAATGTAACGTAGGTCATATTTGATTAGTTGACATTATAAAGCCCTCAAACTTTTATCTTTTATTTTGTATTTTTTCTTCAAAAAGTGAGGATGCATTTTGTTTTTGAAATCAAATTAATCGTTCACTCGCCAGTGGTTTACAATCGCCTGAGGAGACGCATCGTTATGTGTTGACACACGACTGCAATTGTGTATCGCTCCTTCATATTTCTGTTGTAATATATATATATACACACACACACACATATATATATATATATATATATATATATATATATATATATATAATTATTTATTTAAAAAAATTTATAACGTAAATATGTTATAAAATCACTACAAAAATAGCCATTTTGTTTCAACACCCCCGGTGTCTTATCAAGTGATGATGTTGAATGTAAAATAAATGGTTTTAAAAGTTTCAAATTAATTA